ATTGGAAAAACATTTTTCATGTCAGACAACTGACCAATCCAATTAAACAAAAACTGCTCAGCTGCCAACAATTTTCTCACTCTAGCGCCTCTAAATCAACTTCTTTTCCTTATACTCTCTCTCTCTCTCTCTCTCTCTCTCTCTCTGTCTCTCTCTCTCTCTTTCTCTCTCATTGCTGGTGCTTTTTGTATGTTATAAGTCATTAACTTTCTAAATAATCGCCGCAGCGTGTCAACTTTGGTCGTTAAACTTTCATCAGTTGAGGATGCGAACGGTGAACGCTGACATTCAGGATTGGGAATCCCGAAAATAACCAGAGAGAAAGCAAAAAAAAATTAAGCGCTCTGGACACGCGACACAAAAACGGAGCGAAATTTATAGCAAGATATTATTTTCCGCTCGATGAGCAGACAAGTCGTAGGGCGACTTTTGGCACTAACTGGGTGGCGGTGTTTCTTCGCACCCCAAGCCCCCCCTACCAACTGCTCCAGAACCTGTGGCCATGTATTTCGGTGTCGGTGCGTAACTGAGCACAAAAAAACACAGTGGCACATTGTGCCATAAATGAAGACATTATAAACGATGCCGGAGCGCGACCCACCTCAACCACACACAAGCACACACACACAAAACCACCCTCGCGTGTGTGTGTGTGTGTGTTTGGGTATAAGTAAGTGCGCCCAAGATTAACGGTAGACATTGTAAGACACTTAAAGCTGTTGAAGATTTTTAAGTCGCTTTGTGGTTGGGGGTTCAATGAACTATATGATGACGCGCCTTCTATGATATATTACGGTTCAAGAAATGTTCCAGGGCCCATATAACCTACAAATATATAAATATATATATATATATACATATGTATATATATATATTATATACATATAAGCGCTGGCAATTTACGACTACGCGATGGCTCAAGAGCAGGTGGCAATAAATGTATTATATGAAGATAAAACTGTTTAAGGATATGGGAACTCAAGCTGAAGCAAACATAAAAAGAAACTGCCAACAACAGCTGCTGTTCTATGCGATTCTCAGAATTTTTCGACTTTTGTTTTGAGCTGTTAAAACATTTATGGCCCGCAAATGAGCAAGCAAATACATACTTAAATGCAACAGGTCTATTATGAATGTCAACTTGGAGTTTAAATTTGCTGCGCATTTTTATGGAAATTGCTAAAAGATTCATTTTGAAGATACATTTATAATAATAGCATATAAATGTCGCTATTTTATATAGGTCAACTTGAAGTTGAAAATTTGCTACTCATTTTTATGGAGATTGGCAAAAGATTCATTTTGAAGATACATTTGTAATAATCTCATTTAAATCCATATCTATTATAAATGTCAACTGGGAGTTTAAATTTGCAGCAACATTTTTATGGAGATTAATCTCACATATAAATATAATTATATTTGCAATTAAGGTAACGAAATGAAATTATGATAAATATTTATCAAATTTAAATTCCAATTAGCAAATAAGTAGCACATTGTCATCTTAGTATCCTCATCATTATATTCTTTTCGCTAATCGGATGACAAATTATTATTTAAGTTTGAAACATATTCCCTTCTTCAAATGTTTATTGTAACTGTTATATGTTATTGATATTTGATAATTCAGAAAATTCCGAGTTCTTATCATAACTTTTATTATTTTAAGCTTCCGCATATCTTCCTTCAAAAAAGGTCGTTCATAACCCAAAATGGAAAATTAATTTGCTGTAAGTTTTCTTTGTCAATTAATAAGCATGTATTTCAACAAAGCCGTCCCACTGAAACTCTTCAACCCTTCGTCATCAGCTGGCGCCTTCAATTCCAGCACTTAAGCTTTCAGTTAAAAAGGTCATTTTCGTGCACTATGCCCCTAATCAAAAGCGCTGCTTGGCTGCTGATTGTGGCCTGCTCGACGGAGACCGCAGCATTTTACGCTTCGAAGCACAGCAGGACTCGTACACAAATATAGACACACACACACACACACACACACACACACACACACACACTCACTTACACATACAGAGACGGGCCCCACTCTAGACACACCTTTTGTGCAGTTGGTTAAAACGCATTTTCTGCACATTTGAGCACATAAATTACGCATTTTACAAAGTGACTGCAATGCGAACACACAATAAAATCATCAAAATGTAAATAAAATTCGATTGAATTATGCCTTTTAAATTAGGCGCAACTGGGGGAATGGGAATTCCACGTTCTACCCTTTTATTGTCTACCTTTCAATCGATTGTTTTAAGTACGGACATGAAAGCCAGCCGCATTACTTCCATAAATTTGCGTTCATTTCCGTTTCCGACACTTCAATCGGTTCATACTTCACTACCAAATGGACACACACACACACACACACATAGTCGCATGCCGCAAAACCACGCAAAACATTTAGAGCACAGTGCAAATGATTTACGGGCGTTAAATGTTCTATTTATGCGTTTATTTAATTTGAATGTGGCGCAAGTTTGGGTCTTCTAAGTTCGCCTCCCTCTCGGTTCGTCCATCATTTGATTTGTTTATTATGCAAATTTCGTTTGCCTTGTTGTTATTATTATTATTTTTATTTTTATTTGGTTCTGTTGTTGTTTTTTTCTGCCTTTTTTTTTGGCTGTGCGCGCTTCACGCAAACATTAAACTGCAAAATTACCATTTATGCAATTCATGCGGAAATACAAACAAAAGTCAATTTTATGGGAAGCAATTTTTTTTTGGCGCTTGTTGTTATTTTTTGGCAAGCCAACGCAAAAATAACTGTGGGTGCAAGGGCTGCGGGGATGGAGACGGGAGTAGGTCTGCCATTTTTTAAGTGTTCCCTTTATTATGATATCAGCTGCCGGAAGATTTTTTTATACGTTAATAAATTTTTATGCAATATTACACAATTTGGCAGGCGCTCAGTGCTGCACTTGGTGGAAGGAGACGTGGTGCGATTGGGGAGGGGAAACCGGTTTGTTGTTCGAGAATCATCATCGCTCAAATGGCATATCAAAAACGAAATTATTTTTCTGAAATAATTTGTCACGTGACAAACGAGGGGACTGCTCGTTCAACAGGCAGCCAAACAAAACGAACAACCCACCACCCATGCGTATACGTAATATGCTGAAGGCACTCACAAATAGGAGGTCACACCTTTAGGAAAATCAAGCCTTTAGAAGCATACATGCTTGCCATTGTGTGAACTTTAACTTCAGATTGAGGCAGTGGAATGCGAAGAAAACTTTTCCGCATAAATTAAAGCAAATTTGCAAAGTTTAAAAGTTTTCTTTATAAAATTAAGGCAAATTCGAAGCGTGCACATCATTATCATAGCAAATGTGTATTATATTTAGATAAGTTTGCCACGCTTGCTTTCCTAGAGGATTTCCACTGATTTCCTTGATTATTACAAATAAAATAAATATCCTAAATATTTGTGTGGCTTAAATCAGTTTCTAACTAGGTTTAGAGAGAATTATTCAAAAATTTATCAGTGCTTTTTTTTTTCAAGAAATATATAATAAAGTTGCTTATAAAAGCACAAGAGTGAATATTTTATCAGAAACTTTTTCTTGTTTGCCAACTTAGCAATTCAGTTTAAATTTAAATTAATTGTAATTTATATTAAACGACATTAACGACAAAATCTGCCACCGCAAACGCAACTTTTATTTTGTATAAATGCGGCTTTAAACTCCAAATCTGTACACTCGATGCTAACTGTATGTGAACAAAAATTGACTAAAAATGTTCAAGTTTTGATTTGTGGCTTTTTTTATAATTCTTTGATTTACTTGGGAGCTGTGTCAATTGCAGAGAGCACTCGAAAACTTTCAAATAGGTTTAAGGGGCATGCAACAGCAAAAATTTGCACAGCACGTACGCAATTTTATGACAGCGACTGTGGGCAACATTGTGGCGCAGGCACGAAAAAATGCAAAAAGAATTGTTCAAGGCGCAAGCTCAGCAAAAAAAAAAACAAAAAAAAAATATCCATACAGTAGATGAAGTCGGCAAGCTATAGACTACAATAAAATTATTCGAAAAAAATTTTTTTTATATTTTAATATGCTGGCAATGTGGACGGCGAAGGCCAAGCGACAAGCTAACCAAATGAATGCAGCTCCATTTCGCTGTGCTCTGGCATTTTATTTGTCACGCGTTTTTATCACTTTACGTGCGGGCATTGGAAGTGTATAAGAATGTGTGTGTGTGTGCGTGTGTGTGTACGACAGTTCCACCATCAGATTATCACATTTGCATACGCCGCTGTCGCTGTCGCTGTCGCTGCCGACGCTTCGTGACAGTGCGGCCAGTGCGATGATGATGACGATGACGACGGCGATGACGATGACGAAAGCTATATAGGGATATGATATGGGAGTTGAAGGAGTTGGGGGCATGTTATATGCCATATAGCATGTGTAGGGTAGGCAACGTTGATGAAAGCAATCCCCAATATGCACCCAGATACAGAGGCAGACACAGGCACAGCCCCAGACCCAGACCCAGACCCAGACATACTCTGACGTGTGACATTTGCTGTAAGCGACATTTTACCGTACAACAAGGACTGATCTGGATTGAATTACACACACAATCCGGGACTCGGCCACTTTGATTGCAAACGCTGCGAATGACTGCGAATTTGTGTACATGTGTATGTGTGTGTGTGTGTGTGTGTGTGTGTTTGTGTGTGTGTGTGTGTGTTTGTGTGGGTTGTGTATATGTTGGGGTTTTATGATGCAGCTTCCGCGTTGGCAAAACGTTGACAAATATTTTATTATCACATTTTATGATTTTATGAGTCCCCGGATATGAATCACTGAGTGACGAGAAACACACACACACACACACACACAAGCAGGCAGCACACCGCTTCATAATAGTGGGTGATGGACTAAAGCTTAAGCCAGACAACATACACACACACAAGCACATACTCCTTCGCGTACATACACATATATATTTTAAGTATGAGCAGCAGGCTTACTTACCGTTTTTATCCATTGATTCCAACAAAATTTAAACTCCTCCCTATCGATGAAGCCATCCCCGTTTGTATCAAAGACACCGAATATTTGCTCGAGGCGTTCGTGTGGCACATCGTAGATGTGGCCCTTGTCGTTGCGGAACAGAGCACGGCAGATTAGCGTAAACTCATCCAGATTCAAGCGGTCATCTCTGCAGAGAGTGAGGCGGTGGTGGCATGTTGAAGCCAGGCAGCCAGGTAGCCAGGCAATGGCAATGGCAACGGCAACGGTGACGGTGACAAAGGTGAATCAGGCATGAAAATAAACGACAGACAGGCAGCAAAATAAAGTTAGTTTCTAATTCCGAATCAGATGAGAGCGGCTCTTATAGCAGGTGAATTGAGTAGGGATAGGAAATGATTGGGGATTGTGGATTGCGTGTAACGGGGTGTGGTGGTTTGTGGATAAAGTTGCTGTAGTTGCCCTTTGGGGCTGTTTCTCATTGTAGGCAACTGCCATTTTGGTAGAATTGCTTTAAGTTTCGATGAAATTTCACTTATTTGTAGCATACTTTCTGGAGGGGGAGGGGTGCAACTGTCCTTCCCCACACACAGCAGCTGCTTTCAATTCGTGTTCGTTTAATTAAGGTAAAATTAATGCGATTACGTTTATTGATTTGCGCTTAAGTGGATGGCACCGTAAAACTGTTGAAATTGTCAATTATAAATAATTTATGAAACGTTTTAATACTTTTATTTTAGCTAATTCACATTGTATTAATAATTCTATTTAGATTATTTTTCAATATAAACTTTCAATATTTACATATTCTGTGATGTAATTTATGCAGGCATTTGCTGCAATATTTAATATGCTGTTCTTTGATGATGCTAATTCACTTAATTTAGTTTATTTATTCAAACAATTTATTTATTTGTTTTTACATGTTTCACACTTTAATAATTTGTAAATGGTTATTTTTCTACCAATTAAATCGCTTTGGTTTGGACCCAACGGCACTAATTAAAATCAATTTTCTGTATTTTTATAAGCCTCTGATTTGTTTAATAAACATACGCTGCATTATATATCGTAGATGGATTTATCTATAGGTCTTACGAAGTACTCTTTCTAAACCTTTTTAACCTTGAATACATTTTTTGTAAATGTATATTAATTATGCAATTAGTGTGTATTAATGGAACATATACGGATTTATTTAATATACACATAAATTAAAGTTTTTAAATCCAGGCACATCACCTTGTTTTTGTGGTTTCATTCAATTTGATTTTATGTGTTTTTATCGTTTAATATAAGCCGCGTTTTTTTAACAATTTGTAATTTGTCAATGTTTTAAACAGAAGTTCAGCTTTTTAATCAAGAGAAAAACAATATTACTATTGTGTCCAAGCTCGTATTAATGACTGTGTATTATTTTCATATTTTTGTTATGGAATGTTTAATTAACTGTTATTTTTGTCACTGTTTGCTGTCACTTTCATACGCACCCATCCTTGTCGAATGCCGTGAAGCAGGCGTCCATTGCTGAACCGTTCGAATCGTCGATGACAATTGGCGGTGTTGGTGAATCCATAACTGTGACAACGTTGCCAACGTGTCCCAAACAACACACAACCGGAGCGCTGGGTGCGGGTCCACCGAGTCTACCACTTAATGAAGCCCAGAGCCGAAGCCAACTGCAAGTTAAAGTGGAGCCATCAATAATAAAATGTAATACAAACACTCACACACACACACACAACCAGTCACCATGGCCTTTGCCAAAATATGCTGAGACCACTTTGGAGTTCACTCCCGGCTTACGCTTACCCGCTCAGCTAGAACGCCCGCCAGTTACTGAGCCACTTTCTCTAGCCCGATTCGTCGATGGTCGCCTTGCAATAGATTTATCGAATAAACAAAGCAACGCCCACACCACCCGCACCACTCGCACCATTGCCATGGATACGACGTCATCTTGTGGTTTATTTTATTTATTTGATTTCACGCCCCACCCATCACGGCAGTCAACGAAGCGAAAGAGCGGCTTTTGTGGCTGCGCCCGCAGCGACGATTACCTGGCGGCATTTTATTTTCCTAATCAAAAAGTGCGCATTGTGTATGCCCTTTGTTGTCGTTGTTGCTTTTGTATGCCGGGCTAAATGTCAAACTGCCTTTGCAGCAGTTGGCGCACACAAAATGCCAAAAGCTGCAGCAAAGTTTCAAAACTCGCTCGCTAACAATCAAAAGCAAAAATGGAAAACAAAAAACAACAACAAAAACTGAAAACAAAATGCGGGCAAATCCACTGCAATTGCAACTGAGCTGATTCATTGGATATGTGAGTGAAGGCGGTTTCTGAACGCGTCAAAAGTACAGTTGCGCACACACCCATCAAGTTTTCGGCCCGGTCTGTTATTGGCATAGGTTTTACTCCTTTAAATGGGTATATGTAGTTCGAATACCCCTTCCAACCCCCCACGTCGAGTTGAGACCAAGTTCTTGAGCTGACGCTAACTAACAAGGCCAATTGTTGGCATGTTGACTGGCTTTCAGCTGTTTCTTTATATTGCCCGCAAGTTTTGATTGGTCTTCAAGGAGTGACAATGCTAATATTGCCATCTACTTCTTTGCCATCTACTTCTTTGGACGGTACTCAACTAAATATAGACTTTCCTTGACTTACTTTCGTCATCGAACATAGTATAAAAGACATAAAGACAACTCTGGCAGTTCTTTAGTGAAGTATGAAGTTTTGAATAAGGTTTATGGGAAAGGTTTTTAGAGTTATTAAGAAATTATGCAGAATTTTGTTAAGTGGATCATATGAAGTTAAAAATTTTAATAGCTTAATATTATACAATAATAAAAAGCGTAGCTAAAGTTCGGATTACGAACCATTCAATGCTCTTAAAATGTACTTAAATAAACTCGGATTCTAGCATGAACTGAAGACGTTTAGTTGGCTTGAGGAGTACAATGTATTCTTAAGCTTAAGACAGGCTAGGTAGGTAGGTAACTAAATATTAAATCTATAATTTAAAAATGCTTCAGTCAGAGCTTCAAATGCCCATGGGTTTAAAGGCAACCCATGGGTTTAAAGACAACCGTATATGTTTTATTCACATTGGCTCACTAATGTCGCTTCGCATTCACCTCAAACTGAGCATAATCTCACAGCAGTCTAATCCTTCATTTCGCACACCAGCTAACATCACCATCACCCCATCTGTAACCAGCAGTGGCAGCAGCAGCAGCATGAAAGAATATAAGCCACAAAGCCATAGATTTCCATTTAACTTAAAGTAATGCTAAAACAGCCGTTACTTTTTCTGTTCTCTGTTCCGACATATGAGAACTAATACGAAGTGAGCGATAAATTTAAATTTATATGTATGTTTACTTAATATTAAAGATTTATGCACAATATGTGGCAGCAGGCGGCAGATCGAAGCAAACTGCAGCAGCTATCCTCACATCCCAACGTACATAGGTAAGAGAAGGTCTAATAAAATAAAAATATGGCACAACAAATGTGCCAAGCTGGGGCTCTGCTCATGATTTATGCCTCGTATAGAAACCAATCCTTGTCCTACGACACCAAATACCCCAAACCCCAGTCTAACTAACCCACATGAATCAGCAGTAAAAATCACAAAAGGGCAGCCAGCACATAAAAACCATAAATGATTACAGGCTGGATGCGGAGAGAGTTTTTGCTTTTTGAATTAGTTTCATTTGGCAAAACACTTGTACTTTAATTCACTAGAAACTTGGCCGCAGATAAACAAATAACAAATAGCAAACAACAAACAATTCCAGAGGGGCTGGCTAGGTGGATATATATATATACATATATATATATACATATATATATGTGTGGTCTTTATGCTGCTTGATGTACAATAAAAATGCGCATAATTTGCGCTGAGCTCGACAAAAGTTTTTGGCCAAATAAACTTAAGTACAACTCCCTAAGGTGAGGGGGGTGGTGGCGAGGAATCGGAGTTGAGCTTGCAGGCGCCACAACACTAATTGAAAACTATTTTTGGAAACAGCCCCTATTCCCAGGGGCCCATTGGGTTAATATGTAAATGGAGGATAACGCGAAATGCGCAAAACTTTTGCTGCGAAACAATTTACGCGGCATTAAGCAAAACGCAAGAGGCGCACACCTTACCTGGCCTAAACATCGTACTTGCTGCCTGCTTTCATTGCTTGCTGCGAGCTCCAATTGTTTTCGATTAAAGTTGTCGACGTCAAAGTCATTGACTAAATAAAAAGCATCATAAAAGTAAAAGCAGTATTCCCCGCTCCAAATCGCCTTCCCGCATCCCCGCATCAAACGGCAAAAAACTTTGACAATTTTGGCAAATAATGAAGCCCGCACGTGTCGAAATTGTTTGTGCCAGGTGAGACAGTCGAAGGGTGACACCCTAACTTGACACCCAAGAAGAACTTAATCTTGGCTGCCTGACTGTGACTGTGACTTTGGCTGAAACTGTAACCCAAAACTGAGCCAGAAACTGATGCGGAACATGAGAGCCGGAACATACTTTAAGCTCAACTTTATCGCAACAGAAATGTGCTATTATAGCAGGAATTTCTATTATGAAACTCTCAAGAGTGCTTTAGAAATATTTCAGGAAAATAAATAAAACTAAAAGCAGATACTTACATCAAATAGAAATGCAGTGAGTGCCACTTTAGTTTAGTAGTTGAGTAGTGGTACACTCTAGTTGAAATAGTTGAGAAATATGTGAATATTGCATAAAATGTCATACGGATTATCTACTCAAAGAAATCAACTGCAAAATCAAAAGCGAATTCCAGCACACAATAATACGATTTTTGGTTCTTTGTAGCTTACAGACAAAAAAAAATGTTTATATCACATTTCTTTTTGCATTTCTCTTCACAATATTTAAAATATATTTTATTTTTGTTAAAGAGAGATATATTCTATAAAGATGTCACTGTGCCTTAGCAAATCTGATAAGGTGCTTAATCATAACTTCAAAATAATTTCTTATGCGTCGGTAATCATGAAAACAGTTTTCATATTTTATAAAGACACCGTTTTGAAATGGCTTCCAAAAAACTAAACCAAAAACGTTTATTTCTTTTATGTAATCACTTGCGTCAGCGAGTCAGTTTTTCTGGCCTGGCCCCCAATAAACAAAAATCAGAGTGCTGAATCTTTTGAAGAATTTTAGTGCTTCCTCATCAAGGCTGTCGCAAAAACTGTAAGCTGCCAACATAACTCAACAAAGGCAGCGAAACGTGGCCGGACGAAGCGCGGGGCAAGATCCGTGTGAAGATGAAGGCAAAATCTTGCATAATTTGCCAGTTGGGGCACTGAAAAGTAAATTACCGCCTAAGACTTCCTGTTTTTTAGGGGAGCGCCACTGATGGCGGAGCTGCTGGCGTCAAAAGTGGCTTGTCAAGCCGGTAGGATCAGCTAATAAACCACGCAATGCACGCGGGCTATTGGGGCGTTTCGGTGCGGTGCAGAAACCGAGGAAAAGGCAGAAGCAGTGGCGGTGGCAGTGGCAGTGGCGGTGGCAGTGGCAGTGGCAAGGACAGGAGCAGGAAACAGGCGCTAAGTGGCGCGGCACATTTAAAAGCAAACGCCCCGAGGTCGTGCACAGTTTTGTTTGGGGTTGAGCTGAGGTCTGGGTGCCTGGGTAACGAAGCCAGCCATCAATTGAATTGCCAAAAAATTTAGCAGCTTCTGTTGGGGCTGCGCAAAAAACCAAAACCTAAACTCAAACCCAGACGCATATAAAAGGCTTTCAATTTTTTCGCTCTTTCTTTACATTTTCTTTTTTTTCGCTTTCATTTCTTTTCTTTCTTTTTTTTTTTAGAGCCATGTTCTGTGGGGCCTGCTTAATGCAGGCACGTCAGCAGCAGACAGGAGAGCAGAGCAGCCAATGAGGACGACATGGGGCAGACATTGATGGATACGCAGCGTGGAATGCCACGTCAGCAGCTCAGCTCTTGCCCTTGCCTTTGGCTTCCACACACACACACACACACTCACACTTGGCTTGTGGTCTGGCCATTAACAGTTCTCCTGCCTTGCAGCAGGTGTCAGAGTCGTACCTTAGTTTGTCAGTAATATACAGGTGTGTGTGCGTCTGTGTGTGTATGTGTGTGTGTGTTTTAGTCAGCTGCGTGCTGGCCTTTTATCACTTGTTAGTATCTAAAAATACGTGGCGCACATGCCGCCTTTCATTTCATTTGGTTTCATTTCGTATCGTTTTATTTCTTTACCTGCCGCACGTCTAAGCACAAAATGATAAATTGCCATTTTGACTGAAGTTGCCACCACCAACTACACCTCCAGCCCCAATCTGCTGCCCCGCTTAACACCTATCCCTGTATACTCCGTTCAGCCATATGACCTCGTGCTCAGCGCAGCGGCAAATAAATCGAAAACTTCCATGTAAAATGAACTCAACGCTGCACTCGCTTTGGGTCGCGGTTTGGACCAAAAGTAAACTAGCAACTAGGCATCAGTGCTGGGCTCGTGCCTGTTATGGCCTGTTAAGGAATGTTGCTCCTCTTTCAGTGGTCACAATATAGTCACAATATTCGAGATATATGAAGGAATCAGAAACTATGAATAATTCTTTGGTTGGTGTATATCACTTATTTTTAACAGAATTTAAATATTATGCAAAGTGAAAAAAGA